TTTATCCCAGGTAAACATACTCGTCAACAACTTTGGTGCTCCCAATAACTACCGGCGTAGATGTGACATGGACAATAAACATGATCTTTGTTTTGTCCATGTTCATCTTAATACCTATCCGTTGGGAGACACTAATGAGGTCATTGACCATAGTGCTTAGGTCCTCTAGCGATTATGCCATAAGGGCTATATCGTCGGCAAATCAAAAGTAGATGTTAGTATGAGGTATATGAGTATATGATAGTATAAGGTAGATGTGTAGATGTACTCGCCATTGATGTTAATACCGTATCCTTTCCAGTCCAGTAGCTTGAAAACGTCTTCCAATGCAGCGGCGAAGAGTTTCGGGGATATAACGTCACCCTGCCTTACGGCTCTCTACAGTTGAATATGTTTCGTACTCTGCCATACTGTACAAACACTTCAGCACATCGATATACCGACAGTCAACTTGGCACTGCTGAAGGGATGGCAGCAGCGCCCAAATTTCGTCAGAATCAAAGGCTTCCTCATAGTCCACATACGCAAGGTAAAGTGGCAGATTGTACTCTTATGTCTTCTGTACAATTTGCCGAAGGGTGTGTATGTGTCTATGGTACTAAAAGCTTTTCGGAAACCGGCTTGAAAGCTGGTAGCCGTCAAATCTGCGTGCGAGTTGATTCGTAATGACTGTCGAAAACAGCACGTAGACGCCGCTCACAAGGGAAATCGATCTGTAGTTCTTCAAGAGAGCATTGTCGCCTTTCTTGAAGAACAATACCACCGCACTTCCGCTCCACGCCTCTGGAGTAGACCCACAATGGACGACGGAATTAAAGAGCTTCTGCAGGATTTCAAGTACCGGTTTTCCACCCGCTTTCAGAAACTCCTTTGTAATTCCATCTTATTCCGGAGACTTGCCGTTTTTAAGGTTCTGGAGAGCCATTCTAATCTCGCTCACACTGACGTCCGGGATATCATCAGAATAGTGTCGGATAAAACTCGGTCTTGGATCTTTACTCACACTTGCGTGTGTCTTCAACGATGACGTGTACAACTGATCATAAAACCTCTCGATCTCACTCAAAATCTCAGGTGTCCTGGAAACGATGCCGCCTCACTCGGTCTTCAGCTTTGACATTTGGCTCTTTCTGGCAGACAGATGTCTGGCAAAGACTTTGGAGCCTTGGTTCCGCTCGATCGCTTCTTCAATACAAGCCGCTTAAAGTTGTGTAAATGCCGCCGCATGCATTTGGCGATCTGTCTGTTCAATTGCCTGTATGCTGTCAAATCTGTTAAAGATAGCTTCATTTCCCGTCTAACAGCGATGAGATTAAGAGTGTGATCGGAGAGTTTTTGTGTTCACCTGTGGCGGGTCTAGCAGAACTTAGCTCCAACCGCATGAACAGCTTCCACGAGCTTATCATTCATATCGTCCACTACATTGCAGTCTTCTAGGCACTGAAAACGGTTTTGTTACTCGAGCTGAAAGATTTCGGGACTTAGGGCTCGAGCACGAGACGGACGGAGCGTTGACTTCATTAGACTAGACCACTTCAACTTAACTTTTAGGTTCAGTGTGCCTCTAACCATTCGGTGATCGCTACCAGTTTTCACACTCGCTATCACTGAGACTTCACTGAACAGTTGTTGTCTGGTCGTTATAATGAAGTCAATCTCATTTTTTGTCGAACTGTAGGGGCTCGACATGGTCCACTTCCTGTGGAGCCGCTTCTGGAAGAAAGAGTTCATCATAAAGAGTCCCTCATTCTCCATGAAGTCGGCCAGCTATTGGCCCCTTGAATTCCGTTGCCCTATTCCAAATTTCCCTAACTTCAGCTTATCGTTCTCTCTTGTGCCTAGTTTTTCATTGAAGTCTCCCACTAAACCCGTATAGTGGGTTATAGAGGAATGCATGGCTTTAGAGATATACTCATACATTTCCTCCATCTCCTCATCAGGACGTGCCGAGGTTGGTGCGTTAACCTGTATGACCTTCACCGAATACCGTTTGGTGATTCTGAGTCTCATAAGGTACGCAACCCACGTCGACACACTCACAATCTTTACAACGTTGTTAACGAGAGACTTGTGGACGATAAATCCGACACCTTCTTCGAACAGGTGGTCGCCCTCCTGGTGATAGAACAAGTTCGACCGGATTCGAGGATTACCATGTCCTCCCCCTATCTTGCCAGCGTTACTTGTCTATCTCTTCTTCCAGCTCCAGGATATTCTCGTCAGTCCTCAGGGTGCGTGCGTTGTATGTTGCCAGGTCGAGTTGTCGTAGGGGGCAACTGAACCTCCACCGGTGAGTCTTAGCAGCCCCTGCCCCGCCGTTACCATGGTCGCCACCGTATCTAGGAATAGCGGGCCGCCTGGGACTGGGGGCCGTCTCTTCGTAACTTTCATCATGGGGGAATATTTGCCATAGTTGCCACGCTTGGTGAGCGGGTTGGCAACCACAGTTTTTTTTATTGTTGTTTTGTAGTTATCAGGAAGATGCTGCTGCCCATCTCTTGCTTGTTTCCCACTGTCTGATAATAAGACTCGAGTGATCTAAATTCAATGTTGATTTGGGATTTATAGGTTCTATGTTTATGTGGGACTTATAACACAAGAAAATGTGCCAACTGTGTAACTTGCCTAAATATCGTAAAGGGCAACTAATGGGACATTAGGGTTGTGATTGTGTAGGCAATGGGCTAGCCACCTATCACTTCTTACCCAATTTTGGCTAAACGTAGTTTGAGTGGATCACTGATCTACGGAATCTGCCTACCCCGTCAGGAATTACAGGCGTGACGTATATGTACGCATGTAGTTCTGACTCATGAGCCAGTACTTCGGAATCCGTACTACTGATTATCGTAGGCCCCCACTACGCGGCATACGCATATAATAAACATTACACATGGGAGTTTTCTAAGAGGTTATATAGAATCTAAAAAAAGAAAAACAATTTTTAAACGAATTTAATCGGGTTTAGTTTGAGTGGCAGCGAATTTTCATTAAAGAAATATAGATGGCATAGTGTGGATGAGTTTCGTTCAGTTGCTTGTCGGATTTAAAAAGCAATTTTTACGTGGTGGCCATGCTGCAGCTATATTAATAGTATAGTGGTAGCACAAATGGGTAGGCTCGACCAGGGAAGGACCACGCTCTCACAGAATACCAGCGTAAAATTGCATCGAAATCGGTTCCCCCAGTAAAAAGTTATGAGGTACACATAAAAAAAAACATACAGTCGAATTGAGTACCGTCTCCTTTTAGGAAGTCGGCAGAAAATTTCTTAGAACAACTGTATTTTAAATAAATTGAGCAATTTCAAATGACGATTTACCACGCAGTCAGTGGTAAATAAAATCATTGTGAGTTTTTTTTATGTGTGTTACCTCATAACATTTTACTGGATGAACCGATTTCGATAATTCTTTTTTTATTTGAAAGCTGGTATTTCTTGTGTAGTCCCATATGAATTGATCTGATCAAGGTCAAGGAGAATGAATATTGATCAAGGTCAGACCCATAGTTTTTGAGTTATTCTTAATAACTTATATTGAAGTCAGCTGTACAAAATTTTTAATTATTGGTTTTGTTAATTTTTCAGTATCAAAATAGATAATTAACTAAAACTTCGTACCTTTAATTGAAGCTCTATTGAAGAAGATATATATATATATATATATATATATATATATATATATATATATATATATATATATATATATATAACTAGAAATATATATATATATATATATATATAACAAAAAAAACAAAGTGTTTCAAAGTTATCAAAACATATTTCCAGTAGTCATATCAACTTTAAAATTTGTAGTTTCGATATAGAACGCCTACTTGGTTTACTTTGACGTTTAACGTTTAGAAAGAGGTAACTTGGAACCATTTTTAAAACAATTTCTGTTGAAATAAGTGACCCAATTGAGAGAGGTGCGCTCAAATGGGAAACTATTTGTGAGCTGAATGTTTCAAAGCTTAAGGCGGAGATGGATCGTGCATGGATTCGTTTGCCGATCCGCTGCAGAACGCACAAGGTGGAGCAACCGCGAAAGGGCAAATCGGAGCAATATAAAACGAGGCACATCCTCGCTGAACTGTATTCTGCTAACGGCTTAGCAACGAGGAGAAGCCTGCTTGCGGTTAGAGTTTAATATTCCACCGATAATCATGTCGCCACTTTTGGTAAGCTGAAAACAATTAGTTCAAAGCTGTAGTTTAAACACCAACGTAAATTGGTGCTAAAGCTTTTAATTTTAACCTTAGTATTGATATGTTTTTAGGACTTTTTTATTATTACTTCTGTGATTTCTCCTACTTTTCTTTTTATTACAGGATTTGTGGTAGTAGATTTAAAATATAATGCGACAATAGACGATGAATTAAAACATGACAATTATTAATGTACCCGCTTCAGCTTTGCCTGGATGAGGATAATTAATGTGTCGTTATTTTTTTTTATATAGGATAGGGCGACAAACGAACACACAGTCCACCTGACGGTAAGTGGTTGCTGTGGCCCATAGACATCTACATTTATCCTCGTTTGCGAATCAAAATGCAGATGCGTTGTCACCCGTGAGGACTAAGATGGAATGCCTTGTTTCCAGTAAAAAGAGTCTCGGGTTCTCTACACTCACCATATGAAATACAGCAGTGTTAAGCTGCTATTTTACGCTGGTATTCTGTGAGAGTGTGGTCTATCCCGGTCGAGCCGACCGATTCGTGCTATAACCATGACCCATTCATGCTACAACCATAATATATATAGCTGCAGCATGGCTCTACCACGTGAAATTGAAGTATCTGTCTGTATTATCAAAATAATCTTTCTATCTTTAATAGAGCTGAGGGGGTTATTGGTATTGTTTTGTATGGTGGTATTTGTACTAAATTTCTGACATATTTTCTATAACATTACTTTGCTTATTGCCGTATATATTTTCCTCCGTTTTTAAAAAAATTAAGAGACTACAAACAATTCTATATTATTCCAGTTTATTATGCTATCGACGATGATAGTGGCGGCATCTTGCGGCCGCTTGGAACCACAGTACCTACCGCCGCGACCAGGTGGAGGTTTTGGTGCCGGTGCTGGCAGTGGAGCTGGTGGATCGGGCAGTGGAATATTCGGTGGATCGGGCGGGGCAGGCATCTCTGGTGGATCTTTTGGCGGGTCTGGTGGGTCTTTTGGCGGATCATACAGCGGTATTGGATCGTATAGTGGAAACGGTGGTGCAAATATCCCTATCCTTAAATACGAGAATCAGAACAATGGGGACGGATCTTACCGCTTCAGGTTAGTATTTCGTAACTTCTGGATCTATCAAAATTTCAGCAGTAGCCTATCTAATTTATTTTAACATTGTTTTTATAAAATCATAATAATGTACAGGATGGCGATAAAGTTATCACATTAAATGAAAAGACTTATCTTACATAACGTTCTTGGAACTTTGAACTAAAAAATATATATAACAATTAACATTCAAGCCGCGGTAGCCTTTTTTGTTGTTTTTTGCCTAATTGACTATAAATGTGAAAGTAAATAGGTAAATAATTACCTATGTCGATGCCGCGTGAGCACTGCGTACATGCAGCACCGTTGCCACTTTTATAGATCACTTCAGGTAAACAGTAAACTAATATTATCAAGGTTTTCGTGTCAATTTTTACGTTATTTATTTTGTTTGAAAGATGCATTTTTTTATTTTTGCTAGAATTGTTTATTTTATAATTTTAACAGACATAGATGAATTTGTATTTACAGCTGTGTTATTTAATGTGATAACCTAATCGCCACCCAGTATAACATGTATTACAAGAAAGCGTAGTAAAATAGCGTGTAGTGGCGGTGTGAGAATATATACTCTATATGGTCGTGGGTGTCGACGGAGGCGACAGAGGAAAACTAAAACAGAAGATCGGCAGCAACGTCTTCCTGGCAACAACTTAAATTTAAAAAAAAAACTCCGTCTGCTGACCCGTCCGCATCTATGACAAATTTTTCCCAATGAGGCAATCTATGGGACAGGCCTGCGCTTAGCTGTGGACTTATAGGCTGTAATGGATGGAATGTACGGGATTACAAAAAATAAACTAAAAACTAAAATTATCCGACCGTCCCACTCCCGGCGGTATAGTGGCAAGACCGTTGGTTGTTAACCAACTCGAACTGAGGATCGAACTTGGTTTACTCGCATAGTGTAAAATATTAAGTTATATAAGTATAGTTGAGGATACACTGAACTACTACGGCTTTCTACTGCCGCTACTACTAATTTTACCACAAACCTTAAGATGTTTAAAATTTTAATATTATAATATTTTTAATATTTAATCCAATATATTTATTATAAATTAATTATATACAATATTAAAAACATAATATAGTCCTACTCCCCGCGGTATAGTGCTTGGAACGCTGGCTGCATTTCCACGTTGAATGGCTATACTTAGCCTTTGAACGAGAAAAGAACCAGTCCTCTTATCACCAGCAGCAACGACCAGCCGCGAATGGAGTTCCTTTAGGAACCTCACCGCACGTGGACCCCACGGACCGATAGTTTCTACAGCAAATGGCACAAATATTTAGTCATCTCTCAGAGACTCATATTTGCGCCACTTACTCAGTTCAGCTGCCTCTGATGCCGCCCCGGCTCTAAACGAGGTACCTCTGAGATGAGAGGCCGCCAGAGTGTCTACGCAAGTAGCATCCCACACTAGAGCTTTTACCTCTCTCCCAAGGGACCAATGTCATACCGTCGGGTCTCCTGCCATCGTCTCTAAATATTCCACAAGGCTCTAAAACCGAGGGAACATTTATAGAGACAAGAGCCCTTCGGATGACATCGTTCAAAGAAATGTGTCGTGAAAATCTACCAGCGCTTTTCTTACATGAAAGTCCGTGGAGCCCAAACTTGTAGACGCTGCTACCACAAGGGCACTGATGGGGTTGACAAAGAGCCGCTCCTAGTCGAATTCCTACCGCGATAAGCAAATTTTCCCCATCAAATAATGTGCCGATATTACTTGATAGTAAAGCGTGTAACCAGTGACTAGATTCCTTAGTCGAAACAGCTAGAAGGCGTGCATAATCTTGGTCACTATGGAAATTATGAAACAAACCTTTCTGCACGCCACGTACCAACGGAAAATCCCACTGTTTTTGTTGGTTAACTTCCAGTGTAAACCTTAAGTAATGTATCTAACTGAAGTTCCTTTGTCATCATAATTAACCGTTTAAGAGCCGTGGCAGCTCAGATGTTTAGCGCTCGCTGTAAGTTCGCTCACAGTACGCGAGCAACCCGGGCTATATCCGCGCCGGCACGGCACCAATGAAATTGTTAATTGCAATTTTAAGTACTGATTTACTACCTGCTCGGCGGTGAAGGAAAACATACTGAGGAAACCTGCATGTCTGAAAAATAAGAAAAAATATTTTGAAGACATGTGAAGTTCGCCAACACGCATTGGGGCAGCGCGGCGGTACCTTCCTTGCCCTAAAAACCTTCTCAATAATGAGAGGAGGCCTGTGCACAGCAGTAGGACGTGTATAGGCTGTAACTATTAATCGTTTTCTTATATTATTGTGTTGTACAAAATAAAAATATTTTGTTACAGCTATGAAACTGGTAATGGCATATCTGCCCAAGAGAGTGGTGCACCCCGGGCTCAGGGCCCCGAAGGTCCTGCTGTTACAGCTGAAGGTGGATTTTCATACCGCGCTCCTGACGGTCAACAGATCTCCCTATCATACACCGCTGACGAAAATGGTTTTCACCCCGTCGGGTCCCACCTCCCAACTCCACCTCCAATCCCTGAAGAAATCCTGCGCTCCATTGAATTCAACAGGCGTAACCCATCTTCGTAAGTAACATTCTTTATTGTAAATATTTTAACATCTTAAAGTACGGCTTTTGTGTATGACAACAATTTTTTTCACAATGTTTTATACGTGATAGAGCCATGTTGCAGCTATATTAGTAGTATAGTTGTAGCACGATTGGGTCGGCTCGACCGGGGAAGGACCACGCTCTCACAGAATACCAGAGTAAAATAGCAGCTTAACACTGCTGTGTTTCGCGTATGGTGAGTGTAGAGAACCGGAGACCCTTTTTACTGGAAAAGAGGCATTCTATCTTAGTCCTCACGGGTGACAACGTATTTGCATTTTGATTCGCAAACGAGGACAGATGTAGATGTCTATGGGCCACAGCAACCACTTACCATCAGGTGGACTGTGTGCTCGTTTGTCACGAATTTGACAGACTCTGTTGTGACGTCACCACGTAATATTTAACGTTATACGAAGTAAAGCTATGCTGCAGCTGTATTATGGTAGTAACACGAATGGGTGGCCTCCACCACAGAATACCAACAGTGACAACGCATATGCATTCTGATACTCAATCGAGGATAGACGTAGCTGCCAATGGACCACAGGCCACTTACCATCGGGTGGCCTGTGACCTGGTTTGTTACTCTTACTCTACATAAGAAACACCATTCTATAAACACTACTAAAAGCACTCACACCTTCATTTCTGAAAGGGGCTGGGTTGATAGTTTGTTTTATGTTTACGTATAGAATTTACATTTTTAAAATTCCATTTTTGCAGTGAAGGTGCGTACAACCCAGGCGCAGGTTCTGGAGGCAACGGCGGCTCCGGCGGCTACCACTACTAATCTCATTCATATCTCCACATTCACTTATAATGACAAATGAATCGCGTTTAAGTACTTACATATTTATGCCTAACTTAAGATCACACCAAGCCCACCCTTATGTTCTCCTTGCACCATTCTTTTATATACCTAATAGTTATTTACACAAGTCTTAACTCTTTATTTAAAACTATAGTGATCACGAATTGGTTACACTATCTTATCCTTAATTCAAAGAAACTAAGTGAGATAGATTTTCTCTTCTATAAACAACTACCTTTCTCCTTTTTTGACTTCTTCTTCTACATCTTCTTCTGTCTGATGTAGGAAAATACATATTTCGTATGCTAATTAAATGCAATTCAAATGGGTATAAGTGATTTAGTAATGCTGACTAAGAAAATAAACCTTAGCAATTACGTCTCATGTAAGGGTTTACCTTAAGGTATTCCTCGATTAGTTTTAAGTATAGCTAATGTGTTACACATAAGCTTAGGGACTGTGATACCACAATGATGACGAGCACGATATTTAGTTTAAGTTCAAAATGTGTATATATACAAGCAATGTAAAATAAAGGTTTATGAACGTATTTAGTGTTTTCACTATTTGTAGCTGCCCACCGCATGATTTAGTGTCACAACTTGATAACTATAGCAAACCTCATTAAAAACAACGCTAATAAACGACACTTTCATATAAATACTTTTTAACAGTACTACGAACTGTTGTTACCTTGTTACGGTAAAGATAAATAACGTCATCAAGGTAAGAGTGCATAGGCTTTTGTTACGATAAAACATCACCACTTACCATCAGGCGGTATTGTAGGCAATTTTGTATGTGGTAGAGCCATGCTGCAGCTATATTGTGGTTGCTGTACGAATAGGTCGGCTCGACAGTGGTAGGACCACGCTCTCACAGAATACTAGCGTAAAATAGCAGCTTAATGCTGCTGTGTTTCTTATGGTGAGTGTAGAGAACCGGAGACCCGTTTTACTGGAAACGAGGCATTCCATCTAAGTCCTCAGGGGTGCTGAGGACTTAGATGCTTTTTTACCTCTTATAACTTAGTTTTTTTTTTATAGAATAAGGGTGACAAATGAGCACACAGTCCACCTGATGATAAGTGGATACTGTGGCCCATAGACATATATATTTATCTTCGATTAAGAATCAAATGCAGATGCATTGTCACCTGAGGACTAAGATGAAATGCCTCGTTTACAGTAAAAAGGGTCATATGAAATACAGCAGCATTAAGCTGTTATTTTACGCTAGTATTCTGCGAGTGCGTGGTCCTATCTTGGTCGAGCCAAACCATTCGTGCTACAACCATAGTATAGTTGCAGCGTGCTCTACTGTAACCACAGACTAACTAGTAGATTCTAACCGAATCAGACGGACATCTCACGAACTAAACTTACTCGACTTAGCTTCTGCATCCTGATTGGTTGTAGCAAAATGATATGTGACATTTCTTTTTTTTTATTTATAGCAAAGGACGTCCCAAATAAGTTCATTTATTAATTATTTGCAATTTTATTTTAAGATATTGAAAATAAAACGAGGTTAATGAAAATGAAACAATGTTGAAATTTATTTAGTCACTTTATTTTTAAGATTTTTTTTTATTTTAACAGTTTTCATTACCTAATAAATTTTATATTTTATTGTTTCAACAAAGCTTGCTACCAGAATGCCAAAATTCTTAAATCTTTCCCTCTTCTGTTTTTCACCGCAATTCTATTCACACTGTTAAATAGGTCCTCTATAAAATACTATTTTAGAAGTATTTTTCTGTGTTCTGCTCTTATAGTATATTTAGCTGTAATAAATATTTGAACTATTATTAAATTAAATATTTGAAATATTATTAAATTAAATATCATTACATACTTTGTACAGTATTTATAAGTTACTGCTGTGCTGTGCTGTAGCCTACAGACACCTACATTAATCCTGTTGTAAAAGTATCAAAATGCAAATGCATTGTCACCCTTGAAGACAAAAGAATACCTTGTTACCAGTAAAAAGGGTCTCTAGTGCTCACCTCTAGCCATGTAAAACACTTCAGCTTTATGGTGCTATGTATAAATATATTTAGTAAAGGAGAACGGCAGGCTTGTATGAGAATTTCGTACAACTAAAAAATTTCCTGTTTTGGGATATTTTTTGTTTTAATTGGCAGTTAGAAGGATAGACAAGCCCTATTTAAATTCTTAGATTTTTAAAACTTAGGACGTAAAAGTCATAACCAGTTTTATTTTTTGAGGTTATATATTACTGTACCAATGTAGATTGTTACATATATGCACATAACATTGTTTTGGTGGTAAAGTAAATGTTCTAGATTGCTTGTCTCTAGAATCTTTGTAGTGTTTTACTTACCATTACGTTGGTAGATTGAGATGAGGATCATACCTATTCAGCGGGGTGCATTAGGAGATACCTATAAACAGCAGCGGACTGCAACAGTTTGATTATTATGAAATTTTGATGGGGTTTTGAGTGTAGGTATATAAAATAATACTTTGTTTTTGTAAGTAATTTATTTATTGTACTTATAATTATTCAATTCTTAATATTACTTCATCTAAGAAGGGGGCAGGTCGGGTAATACCCTCATGGCAAGCATAGCTTAGGTACCAAATAATGCTCATCAGATGAGAGCAACATCCCACTGTTTTTAAACCAACAATGTAGTTACAGCAATAACTTCTGATTGCGTTCCGACCATTTATGTTTGTTTCTGCAACGATAAATACAAGTAAAATAAGTTTTACCAGAAGAATGGAGGGACTTTATTTTAGCACGAAGCAACATTGGGTTTATTCCCTTTAAATCATGTATTCTCTCTGGGGTTACCTCTAATGTAATATATTCCATGAGAGCGGAAATATTCATCCACATATGAACGGGCCTGGTGAATTTGATATACACCACATGCAAATAGTATAAATTCCTCCATGGATAGCTACGGAAAAGATAGGATTGTCGCATCTATGGGTACAAACCAGGAACCGCACCTGTTTAAATTATGTTCCCTAACTAACTCGGCTATAGTGTTGCTTAAAAACAGGCGCTCATACATAATTGAAATAAACTGCTCGCATGTATATTTTCTGTGAGTGGCAGAGTAAACGAATTCAGCAGAGCAGCTGCTATTTTAAAATCTGTCATAAGATTGCGACAACCAGAGTTAAAATATTCAAGGCGGATCAATTTGAAATCTCTCTTAAAACGGCCGTTCACAGCTTCTACTACCCACCTGTTTATAGTTATACAGCGTAATCTGTTGGCTTCAAGAGTAGATAGCTGTGATTAGCCATCTTCTTTAGTTTTAGGCATATGACCTATGTATCCTTTCTTGTGCAGACTATCCATGCAGTCACGAAAACCTCTATCTAGAATAAAAATATCATTATCTCTACAAAAATCATTGAATTCTGTTTCGTTAATAAGTCATTCATTATGGTCGCATCATTTGTAGTGGCACTATATGGTCCGCGTCCTTTCGCGAAACTACTATCTACGGAGGAGCAGATGCTCAACGCAACGTAAAAACGGCTAGATAATTCGCTAAATTGCTCAGATGCAGTCACAAACTAAAATCCAAAACAACAGCAAAAAACTGAAAACTGAAGTGAACCTTAGCTTGCTACATATATATTTATCTATGAAGTGAACTGAAAGACAGATAATCTTTACCTGTCAATAAATAATTGCCATATGAACAAAAATATTGATGACGAACATCATTCCTCTCATTAAACCGTAAACTATTATGATTATATGCAACAATTATGCATTCTTGGGTATAATATATTATATATAGTGTTATTTCTATTTCTAAATAAATAATTATCATTTCGATATTTGTGTTATTTTACATATGGCAACTTCTAAAAACATAAATTCGTTTAGTTTACGCTTATGTTACGTTTATTTATTAAAATCTTTTTATTGATATTATTAATTAATCCGGAGTACTAAAAATAGAACACTAACATAAAAATAAATGGCTTAGTTGCCTTAATATGTGGTACAAATTCTATAACAAAACAACAAAAAAAGTATGCGGTACAAAATATGCCGTTTTCCTTTAATAAAATAATTAATATAACTTACAAAATGCAGAGGTATAATTTGAGGGTCCTGCCACGGTTTTACTAAATACACAAACATAATTCTTAATCTGCAAATAATCCATAAGAATTTGATTAGGAAAACGTGTATTACACATACAAAAATTAAATTACATGTAATAGAAAAAAAAATATACAATTATTTTATACCTTAATTTTTTTCAGAAATAACATGTTCGACGTTAAGTTTGGGTAATAACCGTGTTTCTGCATGTTTATAGTCTTTCTTATCTGTTCATATAGAAATCTTTTCTTGGTATTGTATATGTTTTTGTTAAAAAATTGTTTCGCATTCCTTTGATTAAATGTGGTGGATCAAATATAAAACATATTAATAATAGGTACATAAGGCAATTCTATTAAAAGTAAAGAAAGCGGTAAAATTGTACCTGTGTTTTTATTTTCTTGTATTGAAACTACTCTAGTTTTATCTTGCAGTAGTATAAGAGCAGATCTGAATGTAGCCCCTTGATGGCGGAAATAAATCAACGCAAACAAACAAAAATTTATCAGTAAATCACTAATATCATTTAGTGACACAAGAAATCAGTGACAATGACTAAATAAACAAAACAAAACAATATGGCTGCGACAGCTTGCATTTGAGCTTAGAAGTATGAAGTATAGAGTAGACTACTCTATACTCCATGCCTAGAAGGGAGGTCGAGAGGCGAGGGGGGGGTGTTAGCTGTCATATATCATCTTGCTATGAAAGGTTTGAGGGGGGTCTTAGCGGGAACTTGATCGGCGGTGGTTTGCTGCTCCTGTATTATAGTTTAAATAAATGTTTGAAGTGGATTTTGATATGTAAAAGTGGTGCGATTTTATGTATTAACTGTCTACGCATGTGAACTATTTGTGGAAACGGTGAAA